TTTTTGTCACCATGTTAACGGCTAGTTTTGGCTGGCTTGTAGTTGAAATGGGTCAGGTTAAATTGGATGATGGGTTGGGTATGTGGTTCAAGGTGAGCCGATTTGGGGAGGATATATTATGAAGTATGGGTGATTTTTGGGGAATCGGGTATGGGTCTATCTTGGGAAAAGCTTCAAGAATTTCTTTCCACTTTGAGCTTTGGGCCCGATTCTCCTTGTTTAAAGTAGATTGGCACCTTGCCAGGCTTTGGGGATTCATTAATGACTGTTTTACCAATAGGAAAACAAGGGTCAACAGATGTACATGGTTGATCTGATGCAGTGATGATAATTTTGGAACATGGCAGTAAGGTTTACTGTTGGGTGGTGCTCAAGGGTATGGTTCGAGGATGTCGTCTTAGAAGCTTGGGGAACTACGTACTTCTTCCCATTGGCTAGTGGACTTCATAAACAGTAACTCTATGAATGCTGATCAAATATTCAATGTAACAAGAAAGGGGTCTATTTGCACCGAAATAGACTCCAATTCAATCAAGGGGAGCACTATTTCTGCAAGGATGAAGTCGTTGGAATTTTTTTCTCACTTTTATAGTGGCCCCCATAAGGTCCAATCTTCCTCTTTGAAGCTTAAATGTCCACCACATTGAGTTCTTTTATATCTCAACGTCTCTTCGTCCCATTTGTCTAGAGGTAACTCCATGCGAGGTTTGTATTCCTTATTGCTCCATGGTACAAACTTTAGAGAGAAATCAGCCACATGGTACCAATTTTTTTAATTGGTAAGGATTTGAGCTTGTTCTTTGCTCTTGCATCTAAGAAGAGCCATTCAGCAAAGAAAGGATTCATAAAGCAAAAATCGCCTACGTGTTCTTGGAGAGTTCTTACTATGGTGTACCTGTCGTCATTGAAGTGCTGTTTGTGGACTATGATGGATGAATCCAAATCACGGTTACTGTGGGGTAATTTTGGTTTAGGCTTTGTGTGATCTCTGCTTCCACATATTGTCACCTGTATCACCGTGTAATAGTGCCTCACAGTATGTAATAGGTTTATCCATTAATGGTGGACCTCGGAGGGGGAGCAATAACTTTCTCTGTTGTTGTATTAGATGGGAAGTCTACTATAAGATTATAAAAGGCACACCAGCCTCTTTTTTCTTCACCCACATTCTTCACTCACAGGCACCACTCTTTTGTTTATACCTCCATTGTTGTCTAACTTAGATATTTCTGCAGGGTGCCCTTTCTTTTGGATGTTTTTTTCCAACCACGAAGTTTGATAATCAGATAGAAACGACTTTCTATTATTTATGTTTAAAGGAATTAAAAGGGATCCGAGGGAGAATCAGAGAGCTCCCTGATCTCTCCCAACACTACGGTTAAGCTCGATTCTCCAAAATTGGAGGACTTTTCTGTAATAGCTCTTTTGGGGAGGGGTTTCCTCTACCCCTTGCCCTTAGGTTGTCTTCTTTTTTGTGATCTATACTTACATCTCGTGTCTTTTATCAAAAAAAAAGCCCAGCCCTCTATACTACTAGCAAAATACCTATACTGCCCCTTTCCCTTACTTCCGTATCGTGGTCCCAAACCAACAGAATTCTTCCTATTTTTCTGCCATGCCCATACGTCTCCTCCTCGAATAAACGTTCTTCATCTTGGGTCTATCATTACCTCCTTGCACTCAGGGTGAAAATTTGGAAATTACACTGCAATAACATCAGCGGGTTCCCATGTCGCGTTCTCCCTTATAGTGCCTTCCCACAATACGAGCACCTCGGAGCTCAATATCCATTGCAGTTCGCACAACCAATATCTTGACAGGTTGGACGATGATATGTTCTTCGGGAAAGGAAAAATGGGAAAGTGTGGTCTGCTGCTTTCCTTAGTTGTGATATGTGGAATACTAGATGGATGGAAGCGGATTCCACGAGAGCGAGTTTATAGGCTACTATACTCACTTTGGCAAGATGCAGAAAGGCTTAGTGAAACGAGGCACCAACTTTGCATTGGGATGTGAGCCCAATGATCCTTGACGATAAGGTTTTAACTTTAAGTAAGCCCAACTGTTGATTTCCAAAATTACCCTCCCGCCTCTTAGTGTTAAGCTTATGTAGTTATATGTTGTTGTGCAGCATATAAATGGCCTTTAAGAGTTGCACTCATCATGTCACGGTCCTTGGTCGATCAACTGTAGAGACCGTAAAATCCACGGTGTACGACAAATGGTTGTTGGGGGCCGTGTGTACACTAACTCAAACGGAGTCATCTTCGTGGTGGAGTCAAAAGACGTGTTGTAATAGAATTCAGCCCATGCTAACCACTTGTACCATTTTGTAAGCGCATCCATAGTAAAACAGTGGAGATATGCTTCAAGTTCTCTGTTCACAACCTTGGTTTGGCTGTCTGATTGTGGGTTATATGCCGTACTACGGCGAAGGGCGGTGCCTTGGTGATGAAATAGTGTTCCCAGAATAAGAAAGTTAAAATTTTGACGCAATTGGACAAAATGCTTCGCAAAATGCCATGAAGGCGAACCAATTCTCTCATGAAATTGTTTTTGTTTTTTTTTTAGAACTGGGAGTCGGAGCTTTACTCCCCTATACCCAGGGCACCCGCACCCACCCCAAGGCCTGGACCCAGGAGCTCTCATGAAAATGTTGGCTACTGTCACTTTGGTGAATCAGTGCTTAAGAGGTATGAAATGACTATATTTGTGAAATGGCTATATTTGGATAGTCGATCAACCACCATAAGAATGGAATTGAACCCCTCAGAGTTGGGCAACCCTTCCATAAAGTCCATCGATATATCTTTCCAAATCTGGTCCTGAATTAGTAATGGTTGCAGTAACCCGACTGGAGCGAGATAGAGGTATTTTGGTTGTTGGCACACGGGACATGCACTAACAAGCATCCGAATTTGGCTTCGTTTCACATCCCCTTTCAGTATGCTCGATTGACCCTCTGAAAGGTCTTCATGTATCCCCCATGTACTCCTATAGATGAGCAATGGAATTCTTGTAAGAGTAGAGAAATCGATGGGGATGCAGGGATAATAGGATTTTACCTTGATAATAGAGATTCCCTGCTCGTAGGGAATAGCCCTTTGCCACTTCTCGACCCTCCTACGAATCAATTACAGTTTTAGATAATTAGGGTCTTGCAATATTTGATTGGCAGTAACCTCTAAATTGACTCCCCCTCCAACGGAGTAATTTCTGAATTCAATGAATTCCAGTTTCCTGGACAGCGCCTCTGCCACTTTATTTTCCAACTCGGGTTTGTATTCTATGTCAAAATCATATCCCAACAAATTTGTTATCCACTTTTGATACTCACTCGAAATCACTCGCTGATTAAGGAGGAATTTGAGAGCTTTTTAGTCGGTTCATATGATAAATTTCCTTCCCAATAAATAGGACCCCGCCATGTCAATCGCCATGATTTCCCGTTCATAAATTCATGTTTGTGGCCTTTGTAGGATACGGAATATTGAATTGAGATGTAATGAAATGAGTCTTTGAACCTTTCTTTTAGCCAAGAGCTAATGTACTTTGAAATCTAGTGATAGCTTGCATGTTTAGGATCATTCAAGTGAGACTTCAGATCAAGTCTCACTTGAATGATCCTAAACATGCAAGCTATCATTAGATTTCAAAGTACATTAGCTCTTGGCTAAAAGAAAGGCTCAAAGGCTCATTTCATTACATCTCAATTCAATATTCCGTATCCGACAAAGGCCACAAACATGACATTATATAGCCATTTAGCCAACCATATGAAGAGTTTCAAGCAAATGGAAAGACGCATAACTTACCAGAATTTAATAGACAAGTAAATAAATAGCCTAGAATATGAAAAGCTTAAAGAAATGAAAAGATTTGAAATAAAAGCCAACCAAACTATTAAATCCCGTCCATAATAAATGATGGATGAATTTTGACTTCTTTGGATGAGATTTGAAGGTGCTTCACTTGACCATGTAAGAGCGGGCTCTAACGGACTCGTATTGGCTTATATTCATTTGGATTGTGTTGGAGATTCATATCAGGAAAGCTCTTCATATCTTAAAGAGCCCCTTTTATTTCTCTCAAACTAGATTTTCTAAAGACCACATGTAAAAGCCATCCTTCAGTCCCAAAAGAGTGTATGGTATAAAACCTCCCGATCATAGCCCTTGCATGATCTGCTACCGGCTATTGAACTCCAGAAACTTTCAAAAAGTTGTCCCAAATTGTCATAGCAAAATTGACAACCCCACAAACATGCTATAAACACTTCTAGGCCTTATTACACACTGCTGAGCTGTAAAAGGATAAAAGACAATCTATGGATATCATCAATAGTATTAATCCTCCGATGAAAAGCTTTTTAGGTAAAGAATCTGACATTTTTGGTAATGTGCACCTTCTAAAGTATGGAGAAAAAGAGGGAGTGGGACCCAAACAAATGGGAGAACAACTAGCTAGTGAAAATGCATGAGAAAGGTCTAGGAGACCATAAATGAACATCCTTGACCTGTGGGCAAGGACAAAAATTGGGCAATAGAGAAAGTAGCACATGAATGTCCCAAGACTTGCGATCAGATAAAGAACGGTTAGACACAAAATTGAACAAAAAAGAATCCTTGTTAAAAAAATCATCCTCAATCTTTGAAAAGTTTCTATTTTACCCCTAATGTATTATTTTTCTTAATTATGTCCTATAAAGAAACTACAAGAGAGAATTTAAGGAAAAATGAGGTATCATTTAATTTTCATTTTATTAATAGATTCGGACATGTGCCACATCGATCATGCCCATGCATCAGCCTCCATGGAAATTTTCCTACATGAATATCCTATTATGTGAGCCGATAAAAGTAAAAACCCCTCGAATACCTTGTGCTTCATTCTGGAACTTTCGTCGTACAATTTGATTGCAAAGAAGTGCATAAATTGATTAAAAATATACACGTCAATTAATTTTGATCCATTATCGATTACCTTGTGTTTCATTGTAGAACTGCCGTTGTACTTGATTCTGGGAATGCTATGTGGCGTTGTGAGTGTAGCAGTGACACGTTTAGTGGCTTGGTTTGGTAAATCATTCGAGTTTGTCAAGGAAAGATTTGGCCTTCCTCCTGTTGTTTGTCCTGCTTTAGGTGGTCTAGGAGCTGGAATAATAGCTCTTAAGTACCCTGGAATCCTTTATTGGGGTTTCACAAACGTTGAAGAAATCCTACATACTGGGAATCGCCCTTCAGCTCCTGGGATTTGGTTATTAACTCAGATAGCCGCAGCAAAAGTTGTGGCTACGGCTCTGTGCAAGGGTTCTGGGCTCGTAGGTGGCCTTTATGCACCCAGTCTAATGATCGGTGCTGCTGTTGGTGCTATATTTGGGGGCTCAGCTGTTGAAATTATCAATATTGCAATTCCTGGAAATGCAGCTGTCGCTCAGCCACAGGCATATGCACTGGTAATTTTCCTTTTTATAGTATTTTTCTTGTTAAAAATGAATGATTCACTAGTCTATTCTTTTAGTGGTTACTTCCTACAATACTTTGTTCAATTCTTTATGATTTGATGCCTTTATACAGGTTGGGATGGCTGCTACGCTGGCCTCAGTCTGTTCGGTGCCGTTGACATCAGTTCTACTTCTGTTTGAGCTGACAAAGGATTATAGGATACTCCTTCCTCTCATGGCAAGTATTCTATGATATCTTTGGTTCATTATACTACAGATGTGTGATGAATCTTCTTAAAAAAGATTGTGAATAATAACCATATGTAGTCGAGAAACTAGATACTACTTTTCCTTGGAGTAAATTTGTTTATGCACACCCAAAAATCTCATTGCACTATGAACTTAGTGCATCCACATATGAATTTAAAAATCTAACAATAACCTTTGGAGGTGTATAAGAATCACCAAATTACCCAGTTATATTGAAAAAACATTAAATTGACGGTAATTGATCATCTTAAATCTTTAGGTCTAGTGGTAGTTTAACATGGTACCTATATTTGAATTCCACACATGTTATTTTCTTCCCAATTAATTTTGGTAACCACTTGTGGAGGCTTGTGCTAATTTTTAAGCCCACTTCATGGAACACACCATTCTTTTAGAGAGAGAGACGCTTTCACATCTTCTTAACCCCGAAATGGCAAATGGTTAGGGAGAGAAAATGTTCATTTTCTTAGGGTACCCCCAGAAGCAGATCTAGTGGAGACGAGGTGGAGCCTGTAGCTCAGAGGATTAGAGCACGTGGCTACGAATCATAGTATCGGGGGGTTTGAATCCCTTCTCGCCCACAACCGGTCAAAAAGACTTTTCCCTTTAGGGGTAGGAAAATCATGATCAGGATAGCAGACCCAAAACTATGAGGAGCCAACATGAGCATCAGCTGTAAAGACATCATGTTCATTCTCTAGAGGTCTGAGGTTCAATCATCCACCCCCACATTTGTTGTAATAGAAATAAAGCCTACGAGTGACGGAGTGTTAAAAGTATTGATAAGAGATTAAATTTATCATAATCTCTAGTTTTAAGTTGATTGGTATAGTGGTAGTGTGACATACCCTAATATAATACTCCCTTGCTTCCTTACAGTTTGTGGAAATCAAAGGCATTCTGAGGTTAGATTTTTCCCTTCGTAATTAAAGGAGATCCTTCTAAGTATTTTGCCCTAACGCTTTTGATAATAAAGTTTATGATATTCTACGGTGTATTGATATGGGTAGTGGGTGTAGATAGTATCATATTCATCTACCAGAATGGACATCAGGGTATGGTCTTTTTAATTATTATCCTATTTGTCCTTTATGTCTATTTCTCACCCTCTTGCTCGGTTTTATTGTCTGTCTTTGAATCCAAAACTGAGAATTCTTTTATCACTAGAATTTTTCTCACCCCTCTTAGGCTCTTTGCAGACAGTCTGCACAACCCAAGACCTAGTCACCTGATCCGGAACTTGGACTCTTTTCCAGTGGCACAGTTCCAACTGAAACTTGAAGTGAAGAAATAGGAAAGTTCACAAGATTCAATAGCTTGTTTGCAAGTGTTAAAATAAGGATAAGAATTTATTTAAAAATAAAATTAATTTATTTAAGTATTTTTTACTTCTACGGATACCAAAATAATGCTAAAAGATTAAACTCCCATGTGAATCATAGTTCTTAATATTTTCTTTAACAGGTGATCAGTCGTTACAATTTAACTCAAATGTAGGGAGTACCAGTGTCAAAAAGTCGTGCAGTGGTTTATTTGTAAAAGGTTAAAAGTGTTGGGGCACAAATTGCAATTTAGAACTCTTTGATATCTAATTCTTACAACATTGTTTGATTATATTGGCGCGTTATTCTTATTGCTAGACACTTTGTGAAGCATAAACTTCTGTGACTGGTTCTTAATTTCCTTACTGCTGCCAAATCTGTGAGCAGGGGGCTGTTGGCTTGGCCATATGGGTTCCTTCAGTTACAAAACAGACCAAGGAAACCGAGTCATCTGATAAGCGGGGTACAGCTAGAGGTTATGCTTCTCTTTCACCTTCTGAACATAAAGATGGGGTACCTTGGAGATATGATAATGGTGACGGTGACTTGGAACTCTCCGAGGTAGTAAATCCAACTGACCATGAATCAAATTATGAAGATAATCTTCTTGAAGGCCTAAAGGTACTTATTTCTCCATGCTGCTCTGAAACCCGGTCCCTCTTCATCCTCTTGCAATTTATTATTTATCCTAACTTTTATACTTGACATTTGTGCCTCCCACTAGGTTTCTCAAGTGATGTCAAAGAACTATCTGAAGGTTTCATTGTCTATGTACGTGAAAGATGTATTAAAATATATGAAAGATAACCAACAGAACTGTGCACTAGTGGCTGACGATGGTGATTTCCTTGAGGGAATATTGACAAATCGTGACATTAAACGGTATTTCTTCAAGAAGTATGGTGATAGTCTGAAGGGTGATCCACTTAGTGTATGTATCGATAATGTCTGCTGCATTTATTGTTCTGTGATTCATTTTTCTCTTTTCTGTTTTCTTTTAAGGGCGAGTTGGTTCAAGACTTGTTGCATATCAACAAAAATTAGATGAACGGAAATAAAATATCTAGAATTTGATGTCCTACCGATGGAGGTGCTATATTATCATAAGTAGCAAGTTCTACAAGTTTTCTTGTGAGATGTCCATGAGTTGATAGATGCATTTGTTTGACAAGTTTTGTATGTAGTTGAATACTTAGAATCACACCCAGTCTAAAAAAATGTTAGGCAGAAAACACTATAGCATCAAATTGCATGAATACGAGAAATTATTGGTAGTTTTGTACCGTTAGATGTATAGAAACTGCAAAATGTATTTCAAATCACTATTCAATGGTTATTAGAGGGGCCTGTAGACGAATCTGCATCTAATGGTTATTAGGGGCTCTTGTGGAAGCCTTAACTAAAAATCTTTTCATGCCTACTTTCCACCTCCAAAAGAAATTCCTTTGCCTACTACCGAGCATATGACTCTTTAAAGCCTACAACTTTACAACTTTGGGCCACAAGAACAGAAAAGTGTTATCTTGTTAGACTGCAAGGCGTGTTATCTTAGCCTTGCTTGCAGTTTGAATTGAATACCCGACTTTTATTTGCTCATTTCATTTATAATTCTCTCCTCCAGCTAAACTCCTTATCATATCAAGTATCAATAATTTTCCTACGCATTCATTGTTTTATCTCTACATTGACTGATCACTGTATGTTGGATTCATTCACATAGCGGTTTGGTTCAATCTACAGAAACAGAAGTTTTTCCATATATAATTTATTCTCAATAAACTTTTAACTTCTGTTTCATTTATACTCTTGAATTCAAGTAATAAAGATACCCTGGAATCTTTACAGGTGGATACTTGTCTCGTGTCCTCTATTTACACTCGAGGGATTAGTTATCGTGGGCGAGAACGAGGAATTTTGACCTGTTACCCAGACACTGATCTGGCAACTGCCAAGGAACTAATGGAGGCTAAGGGTATAAAACAGTTGCCCGTTGTTAAGCGTGGCAGAGAAAGGAAAAGAAGAATCGTAGCCATTCTCCATTATGATTCAATTCTTAACTATCTCAGGTTCTTAAACGAATCTCAAATTATGGTGTTTTATAAATAAATTATTGTCCATTGGTACTTCTTGGATTTATGTTCTCAAAAGGTTCAAGCCACCTGAAATACTGGGCTGGTTTATCCTGAGAAAAGAAAATGTAGCCAATTAGAAAATATTTCACCTATGTTGGATGTTTCAAGTTCCTGAATTCATAAATGGAAGCCATTTCCTCAAGATTAATAGTTTATGCATTTGAAATTTTTCTTTAAGAGGCGTTATTGTTTCTGTGCAGAGAGGTCGTGGATAAAAGGGAAACAGCCTATCCTAGTGGAAAAGAGTTAGTTGTTCAGGAGAATATTGCAGATGGCCATTAAGGAGCTGTGGAACAAATTCAGAGCTCAAGTTTTCCAACATTCAGTGTAGAGGAACAAACTGAATGTTGAACTAAAATGGTCTGTTTTATTCAGAATTAAAACCCGCTCCGCTGATGACAGAACATTTGAATCCCTCTGGTTGATCTTCAGATAAGAGATAAAATTTTATGGTGAGTTATGCTGATATGTAGTACTTTCCATGTAATTTAGCAAATTGTATTTTACACAGAATCAACAATCCAAAGGCTGTAACATAATACACAGATTATTTCAGAAGCACAGTTGGAACCATGAGAGAATGCATGCTGCCATTGATGGTCTACTGAGAATTCAAGCTGAGGGATCCATGTGGTTTATTAGGGTATATATTGGTCATACCTCAGCCACCTTACATTTGAGGTTTGAATGTAGCTGATTCATTCTTCTCACTATTTTTTTTGGCATTGGAATATTTACTCCTGATCTGTAAGTTGTAATGATCTGGTGTAGTGGAATCATTTCAATGAATTAACTCATTCCCACTTCTCAGTTCTCATGATTTGCTTGGCATTGTTTCTTTGCAAAGTTTAGTCAAGCAGTACATTCCTCCCCACCACTTTTCACATTGAAACATTTCGATGTTGTAGACCCTCTTGACCGACTAATCGATCGGCTCTTTTTGAATAACATAAATATCGTCCCATAACCCACCCCGTAAAGTTAGGATCAATCTACTCCAATGGTTTTGCTATTTGAGAATAAAAAGAGTAGCACCCTCGCTCGAGAAGTAAAACATTAAGATAAAGCTCTAGAACTTAAGATTGGTGTTGATGTAAGAATTCAGGAGCTTATTTTATAGTCATTTTATAGTTGCACATTATGGATCCTTATGGTCGATTCAAGGTTTTCACTAGAATTATGTTATTCAAGTCGAACGATCGTCTGATCCAAAGAGAGATAATTAAAAGAGGATTTACTGATGGAAAGGTCATATATGTGTATTCATATATAATTACTGTGTAGTAGTAAGAACTTTTAGTTTCCTAGTGAACAGAGATTGGGAAAGAAAAATAAAAGGTAAAATAAAAGCTCACATCTCAGGTCCAAGTGGAAGCCTACTCATAATTTGTTGATACACAGCTGAACCATTGGAAAAGTTCAAGCCAAGATCAGATGTAGGTTCTACATTGGGTTCTCCTTTAGGCAACAAGAAACCCATTCCATTAACATGATGTGCCTGTGCTAAATATGGATGCATTGGCAGAACAGGTAGCTTGGCTTGGCCAAGTGCTGTCCCCATTGTCAGATTTCCCAGTCCAGGTTGGTTCATTCCAAAAGAGAAGCCATGGGCAGTCCCCATCTGCTGTCTTCCACCAAGGCCAAAGGCTGGCCTTTCAAATCTTGGAATGTTGTTCTGAGCCTGGGATGGCCCTGGCCTGTGAACATGACTTTGAATCGTCACGCTCGAGTTTTGAGCTGTTGCTGGACTGGATGTACTAGAACTGATGTGGCTGCTGTTGCGAGCAGCAGGCACGTCGTGATTGTGCTTTCCTTCATATGTGGTGATCACAGACTTCAGGTCGTGTGATGCCCGCTCCACGTGCTTCCTCACCGTGCAGCCAGGATTCGTGCACTTGTAGTAACTCCTGTATACAAGTTGATACCATCACAAACTCGTCAACGAGTACACTCAGTGACAGGAGGAAATCACAAAAACATGGAAAATGGAAGTACCTAGGATTTGGATTTCCTTTCACAACCTTCTGTCCGTATTTGCGCCAACGATAGCCATCATCCAGAATATCTACTTCACTGGTAGTCTGGACGACGACTCTAGGCTCACGTATCGCTCTAGTGGCCCCACTCATTTCCGTTACATAAGCGTCAAGTTTCCTGAGATATCAAAGGAAACCAAGATAGTTTCATGCTCTTTTTTCCAATTTTTATCAGTTAGATATCATTTCATAAAACAAGAATGGTAATGTGAAGAACCTTTTCTTAGACTCAGATTCATCTCCTTCACCTTCATATCCCAATGTAATACTGCCATGTGTTCCCCTGTCATCTTCATCTTCATCATTAGAGAATGTGGATGAGGCATCAATGGCCTCAACTGTTTCAATATGACTTCCATTTTGAGCCTGTAATGGGTTAGGCTGATTGCCATATTCAGGACCCAAGGATGCTGCTGATGATGTCACCTCAAGGTTGTCTTGCATCCAATCAGGAGCTCCAGTTGGGATCCCTTTTTGTGAATCTTCCCAATGGGGCCCTTCAGCGCTCTGTTGGCCTGCTTGTGCAGGGATCTCCAGTTGCATATTGATATGGGAGTCGGAAGATCCGATTGCTGCTCGGCGGTTTGGTGAGGGCTTTGGATGGTTATGAGCCCCTTTATAGATGATCTCCGTTATATGGCCCTCGTGAGATCGCTCGACTTTCTTCTTGACTGGACAGTTTGGATTTGTGCACTTGTAATAACTCCGGGGATACTCGCTTCCTTTAACCTGTTTTTGCCCGTATTTTCTCCAATTATATCCATCCTCTGACGGAGCACCACCAGCCATCGAATCCCCACTGCCTCTTTGCTCTCCTTCATCTGGTTGCTCGTCGAGCGGAGAAGAATGTTCACCACCACCACAAATAGAATCAAAGGGTCTCTGATCGTCCGACACAGTCTTAGCCCCATCGTCTATCTGCGGCGTAGAGAGTCCAGCTTGAGGATGATGACTGATTCTATTATGGGGTAAGGACAGCGATGGTTCTACAAGATGAGATTGAAAAGAATTTTCTGAACGGGGAACTGGAGCCTCAATTCTTGGACAAGATTGCGGAAGAATAGAGGCAGAAGCTGTCTACAACCATATGTTGGAAGGGAAAAATAATTAGCAAACAATAGTATGCAGTCGCTCGGTGTATCTGCATCTTATAAATTGGAATCTCTACACATTTGATTAATTCTATTTTTCTGAAGGAGGGGAGTGAAATTACTTTGCTTGCTGCACCAAGAAAAAATGACGATCCCGATTCTACCATGGGTCTGAAAGCAAATGATGTACCGTTATTCTCGAATGGATTGTTACCACCATTATTGTTGGCCTCAGAAAGCATCGTTACGGAGCTCCAATTACTAAGATTTGCCAGAAATGGGAACTTTCCTGTTGTTGGAGATTGCTGAGCCTGAAGTAAGACAGATCAAAGAGAACAGGTCAAAATGATAAGGGAAAAAAGAGTGCATTCCAAAAATTAGTTAAAAAAGTAGGATTATCCTCCATTTTTTCTGCTTCCTTTTACTAAAGAATTATTTTCTAGCATACAGATTTCCAACCCTTGAACAGAATTTAGAGCAAGATACTATCGCCCAATAATACAGATATAACCAAAAAAAAGGGTTGATTATAAGTTTCCAGAGTCTCTAAACTTTAAAAAGTTTCAATTACAATCTCTAAACTTTCGATTTTGATTTTAATCCTCAACATTTGCAATGTTAACGTGGTATGTTGATTAGACTAACAAGTGAAGATTTATGGACTACGCAACGATAAAGTAAGGGTAACAGGCCAAAAAATTGAGTCCAAAAAATTTATTCCATCTCAACGTGCAATCATATCTTTTGGCCCAATATTTTATTTAATTTGCCTACCAAATCATGGCTAGTCAAATTATTGTGCCACGTCGACATTTAAAGTAATTCAAAGTTCAATTTACATATTTTAGAGTTCAGGGACATACACAATCATCAAAGTTCAATGACCAAAATTTGTAATTTAACCAAAAAAAAAAACACTATAGTTCCATGATTCTCCTAAGCAACAAGAATTGATATAAATTTCATTCATATAGTTTTGAGTGATAAGCTTACCAGCGAATTTGAAAGAAAAACTGGCGAATCTAGCAATGTAGTAGGACTGAGACCAGGCGGTATAGTCAAATAAGGAGACTTGACTTCTGAATTCAGAGACTGGTCTGTGTTTCTAATGCTTTCTGTGTTCAATCTTGGAGCATTGAATCCAGCTCTGGCTGCTATCCTATCCACAAGACCCCCCCGGAACTTCTGCTCCGAGAACGAACCCAACTCTGCTGGTAGATCACCGCCTCTTGCAATGGCATTTTCCGACATCATATGTTCTCGAGGCCTGAGAAAGAGTTCCTCAGTTTTATCACTGCTGGTAGTATCCATGGATCGTCTAGAACCAACATCTTCCCCTAGCATTGCTGAGAAGAAGGTCCTTGGGCTGGGACTTGGAGGCACCCAATCCCCAATAATAGCTACATTATCCTCAGTCCTTCCCATTACTTCTCGAGTCCTGGCTTGACACGAGCTCGAAAATCTCGCAGCAATGTCGACGAATCCTGAAAGCCAACAATGTAAATCATGTAAGAATGAAATCTAACCCAATAATCCAGATTCACCATTTAAAAGTTGCAGCCATAACAATCTAATCTAATCAAATCTAATCAAATCTAATCTTCCTTGCATATTTGCATGATCAACTTCAGCTCCCAAAAGAAACTCAGCTGAAATCTCTTCAAAGTTCAACAAAATCATCTCATGCCCTTTATTACGGATATTGATATTTCTTACCCTCCCTGATATGCATTCTGATTCTATTTGTCTTTCACTATGGAAAAAGAATCAAACCCAGAAACGAACAAGAACTTGAAAATTGATTGAAATCGTTTTCAACTAAAAACTTCCAAAATAGCGTGGATCCGATCTTCGGATCCAGTGAAGATCTATGCATTTCCACATTGAAGCTGATAAAACCAAAATTCCAGAAACAAGACACACGGAATTGAGAAAAACTTACAAGGAAACAAAACCCCAAAATCTTAAGCAATCGGCATCCGAATTTGCAGCAACAACAACAACAACAACAACAAAATAACCGATTACCTGAGTGATTAGGAGACCCAAAATGAAATCAAATCAGAGAAGAAGAATCATCCGACATCCAAAATCCAATCGCCGCTACGGGTTGTTGTTGTTGTTGTTAGAAGTAGCGAGAAACGTAACCATGATCCGAAAACGAAGCTCTACTCCATGGATCTTCGAATTTTGTTGTTTGGGGTTAATTTTGGGATTGATTGAAAGGGCGAAAGAAACCTGGGAGAGGGAAATAGGAAGAGGGAAGAAAAAAGAGGTTCAATCCCACCACCTTCCTTCCTTCCTTCCTCTCTCTCTTCAATCTCTCTCTCTCTTACACTGCGTTTGTGAGTTTCTGGTCAAAATCCAATTGATCGGCCATGGCCACTGCTCTGAGAAAATTACAAAACAAAATTTGAAAAAACTGTCACTGTTCTAATAACCCAACCCAGAAAAAAAAAAAAATTGGTCGGGACCCTCAGAGAGGAAAAGGGGAGGAGGTGATTTGTGTTTGGACGACAGGAAATGGATGGAATCTTTGAATTTCAAGAAAGAAAACAATGAAACAAAAGCAAAAGTGAAAGGAGATTTTTTTTCTCTCTCTCTTTTGAATTTCTTTCTAAAGCTTCTTTTTTAGATTTTACATTGAATAATATTGTCTCGACTGGAATTTACTATTTTGGGTTCTTACTTTTGGCTTTGATTCGTTTTGGTCTTTACTCTTAAAATATCAATTTTGGTTTTTATTGATTCATTTGGTGACGTTTCTGTTTCTTCTCTTGCAGTAAAGAAAAATTGAAATTGGTACAAGAAATAAGAAATTTGTTTTGTTGTTTCCAAAATTTCTATACAATTTTAAGAATGTTTCTAAGAATGAGAAACCAGAAACGTAAAGAATTCTCAAATGCTTATATTTTTCTAATAAGATTATTAACGAAAAAAATCGGGAACGTTACCAAATGAGTTCAATATTTTCAACTTTTGTTAATTTATTTTAAAACGATCATTGTATTTTTTAAGAGTGACTATTTTAGTTCCTTCATTTTCATTCTTACCTCATTTATTTCAATCTAAATTTTAGCATACCACATACACATAAAATTTGCTTTAAGATTTTATAAATAAGAACCAAAATAGTTACGTGACACTAAAGTAGAAGGATCAAAAGACATTTTCTAAATACATCGACCAAAATAGTATTTAATGTTGTTTTTGAGCTTATTTTTCCAACTAAATCATTCCAATTTTTGAAAAAATGAATCCTTTTTTGATGGGCCCATTTTGGCTATCTTACACTTTATACTAATTCCATTAACACATCTAAGCTGTATGGTCAAAATCAAAATGAGAGAGACAGAGAGAAAACCAAAAAAAAAAAAAAGAAAGAAAAAGAAAAAAAGTTGGATTACAATAATTGGCTATTTTATAGAATAGACAATAATAGAGTTGGATTTGGTGCCTTAAAATCAGCAATAATATTCTGCTTAAAATTGCAATAATACAAATATAATGTAATAGATCTTTTTTAGGTCTTCAACTGCACAATGCCCCAACACCTCTAACCTCTACCTTTCAAATTTGAATTGTGTGTTATAACTAACCCTTTTTTGTTATTTGTTTTTATCTTTTTTTTGTTTTTTTGAGTAAAAGTCGGGGCGGACCATATTCATCGACATATACACATTTCCGTAACATTTTTATATGTCACAGGTTCGACATCGAAATTTAATAGTATTGCAACTGTAAGGATGAGCCAATCTGRATGAAAATGAGAATTTTTAGTCTATCGTAATTAGGGTAGGATCGGTTTGCTTTGGTTAACGATAGGATTTCGAATCAATTTGTGGATGTATTAAGTCATTATAATGATTATCTTTTGTGTATCTTTGGTGCTTTAGAAAAAAATCACCCCCTATGTTTTTATACTCTTTAGTGTATATTACTTTTTTTTATCTGCTACTCAACTTGTGTTATGTTACAGGTTTACCTAGCGCTTCCATCCAAAGTTTATATTTGTTCATCGAGATTTTCATATGTTAATGGATTCGACATCGACATGAGGGGTGTATCGCAAAAGAAATGATAAAATATAAAAAATAAATTCAACGAAATATCACTGACATAGACATAGTATTAATATTAATAATCTTATACTTGTTTAAAAATGATGAAATGTTTATTTGTTACTTTAAATATTTGTGTTGTGAACTTTTTTTTTTTTTTTTGATATCTATGAGTGTCTAATCTCACGGGATAACCGATTGATCCTGCAACATTTGGTGCCGAGAAACACAAATGAATTACTAATTCCTAAGGTAGGTGGTCATCATGGGACCTAAACCCATTTCCTCTTAATTAATTTTAAGTCCTTTGGACCAATGAACCACCCATGATGATTAAGATTTAAGAGTGTTGTTAAAAATTGGGGGGAAAAAAATGAAGTGTTAATAAAATTCTAAAAAATTTATGGATATAAATACTTCAATCTAGGTACAAATAATAATAATAATAATAATAAAAATTAGAAGAAATGTTGAAACACAGCTAAAAAACATGGTAAATTGGTAATAAATGAAGTTTATATAATATGTAATAGTTTCTAGAAATAGATATATATTGTAGTGATTTGGGTAAAAAATAACCCCCTTTTACTACCTATGATGGGTTTTCTGATAATTTTTATATTTAAACATAAAATTGTAATTAAGACACCCAAAAATTTTCAATAATATTATATTATTGAGAGTATATTTAATTAAAATATAGAAAAACTAAAAGAATATTAATGAGTTTACAAACTAATGGAGTAAAAAAATTATGATAAATATGTTTTCAAAAAAATATATATATATATATATATAATATGTTTTCTATATTTATTTTTAAGTTTATATTTGTCTGATCTTATATTTGTTTAAATTTTTTTTGGAAAAAGAAATCTAAAATTCAAGAGGACATGCCCCTTTAGTACGATGAGTACTAAATTTTTATTTACGGAAAACTAACATCAATCTTTTAAGTTAACATTATTATTAACTAACAAAACATGATTTAGTACGATGTGAATATACTTCAACTGATTAAGACATATATCATTAACTAAAATGTCGGAGATTCAAATTTCTATCGTTTTAAGTATTTACTTTAAAAAAAACGATGTGACAAGTGGAATAAATAAATATATATAAAAATGTCGCTATCCAAAGCTTGTTCATGCCCAATGAGCCACTGAAGACCAACAACATTAATATAATATTTTTATCTTTGTTCTCATGGAAAAAATGTACCACTAACATTTTTATTTATTATTTGTTACTTTTTTTTTCAGAGAACCACTAACACATTTGAACTTAGTCATAAAATCTACTAAATAAAATAAAAAAACATCGAAACTTAATATAAAAATGTTCAAAATCTTTTAGCTAAACAGTAATCGACATGTATCTCCCATCAGAAGGTTGTGAATTCGATCCCCACCTCACACGATGTACTCAGAAAAAGAAAATAGTATAATATGACTTATATACTCATGTCAACGGAAATCAACAACCATAAATATAAATATATATCTATGTCAGGGACATATTGTGAAAGTATTATTTCTAATCTTAATTTTAAAAGACAAAAACAAAAAATGAAACGACCATCAACCGAGTCTTAAAATAACCACTAAAAAAGCGAACTGAACAAAAATACACAAGTCTACAACCATTAGAAGTCTTTTTTATTATTATTTTTTTAACATAACCATTAGTACCCTAAAATAATTCATCTAATTTTTGTTAGTTTGTAAATTAAACTTTGTAATTAAATATATGCTTAAGTTTAAAAAATAAAATTAGAATTTGAAGGATAGTTCTAAGCTTGTACCATCCACAAGAACAACCACCACTACTAAAAAATATCAACTCAAATAATAGAGAATCAGAGAATTGGTTTCCTTATTTCAATTCTTAATAAGAGAAACTAAAATACTTGAAGGTTTAAATAATGATTTTTTTTTTCTATATTACAATGATTGAAAAAAATACTAAAGTTTAATATTTAAAAGATGGAAATGCGAGAGAACGAGAGAAATTAAAATACTATTTTGATCTCTGTACTTTTTATTTTGTTTAATTTTGGTTCCCATATTTTGAAAACATTCATTCGGTGCTGTACTTTCAACTTTTGTCCATTTTAATTCTTATACTCTCAAAACATTTATTTTAGTTTATGTACTTTTCAAAAATATCAATTTAGTCTATATTTGAAAAAAATACAAATTTATAACTATATTTCGAAAATTTTAATAAAAATAAAGTGTCATGCTAAAACTATGATGGAAAAAATTGAAATGAAAATAAAAATTAAGGGACCAATAATTTTTTATAAAAATAGATATCAAAATAGACATTTAAAAAAAAAAGGAAGTCACCATCCAGAGCTTGAAATAACAAAGTTGAGCAATTTTGTTATGGGCCAACCGGAGAAGGAGACAGCCGGTGAAGACAGCAAAATCAATTGTTTTTTTCAAAAATTTTCTTTTTCAAAAGATAGTTTTTTTGTCACATACGAAAGATAAATAATAATAATAATAATTTAATTAAAGAAAAAGATGCTGTATTTTATTTTTTATTTGTCCGTCCGGTCGGCAAAACGGTCGGACCCGGTCAAAAAAAGGAATTTGTAATTCCGACCAAGTCTCTGTCCTTTCTTGCTAACGTCACGGACTGTCACCAATCTTGTGTGAACCGCCAAATCGAGGCGCGTCACGTGGCAACGCCTACACGCGCGGTCACCCTGCATTATTTACCAACTACTTATAGAACTCTTTTACAATTGCATGTCTATATATTTTTGTTTTTTTTTTCTTTTTATAAATATTCATTCATTTTGTTTTTTACTACCATCTATTGAAATTCTTATTTGTTAACTTCCTTTGATAAGATTTTATTTGTACATAAAATTTGAAAAGAATGTCCAAGATTTTATAACGGTTAGAGTGAAATAATCGTGAGGGAAAGATCGAACATCTTGAAAACCAGATAAAATAAAGGTGGGCAAAAATGAATTTTTGTTTTAAATGTTTTGTGTTTGTCTTTTCCATCGATTTTTTTAGTCCTTCCATCTTAATTTTATTTAGTGAGTCTACTCTCTCTTGTGTCACGTCATGTCAAATCATTACTTGTTAGTTTAATTAGTACAATTTATCAATCTTTTGAGTAATGTTATTAAACATGGTGAACGTGATTTATTATAATCAAAATAAACATTTATTGACTAAATAAACATAAATAACAAAATTTTAGGGACTAAGTTTATAATTTAACTAATGTCTAATTATATCTTGAAAAAGAACTTAGGCTAATGATAAACTTATATGCAAGATACTTAGTAAGTTGATATAAATTTAGAGGAGAAATTAGACTATGTCAAAGAGATAAAAATCAACATTATGATTTATGAAAATGATATAATTGAAGAATGTTAAAATGTAAGGGACTAAAATTGACATTTTTTAAATAACATAGTAAAATTGAAAAAAAGATTTCTAACATTAAAACAAAAAAACAAAAAAAAATTACCTATTTAGTCTCTAAACCTTACATTTTCAAACTTTAGTCTGCGTTTTTATTTAGGATAAAATGTTAGGGAGGTGGTGACGTATTATATCTATTAGTTTGTCTGATTATTGACCACATCACACTGACTTAAATAATGTTTATCTAATAGACATATCAGATTAGTGTTTCAATAATCGAGTTAAGATTGAAACTAAATAAGTATGATTTAAAAATGAAATAATTTAATTGGAATTTTTTAAATTTTGGGGCTAATTTAACACAATGTTCCCAATATATAAGGATAATTTATAATATCCTACATTAAAATTTATTTTTAAGAATTGAATTTTGTTATAGTTCAATAAATATGAAGTAAGAGATCCCTTGTCCTATGACCTTATCCAATGAATTATAATTAGTTTGACTTCTAAATATTTAACACCCTAATTTTATGTTAATTAGTGTTCTAAAATTTGTCAATCTAAACATAGCTCAGCAGCTTAAATCACCTATATCCGACCAATGGAGGTAAATCAACATTTCCAATATTACAAAAATCGATAAGAAATATCAACGAAATCTACTAATATAAACATGATATTAATATTAATTATTTTAAACTTATTTAGAAATTGTGAAATTATTTGTTAATTAAATATTTTTTATAATTCTTTTCAGAAATATCTATTGATATTGACATTTTATCGATATTTCCATCGATATTCCTATCGGCATCGCACTTAAAACTTGGGCCCAATCTACTCAAACAAAATTTAATGAAATTTTTAATTTTAGTATATTTGAATAAGGTTAAGCATTTTTCTCATGCACGTATATTACGGCTTGAATAAATAAATAATTGTTTAAATATTTTTTTAGTCTCTGAATTTCTATCAATATTTTTATTTGATCCTTACGTCTCAACACAGAAAAATTCTCTCCATGGATTTCAAAATATTTTATGAAATAAAAATATGGTTGATGGTTTATTTATCACTAACCAGTGAATTTAAAATTTAAAGAGAATCGAGTTTGTAATTACTTTTTATACAAATATTATAAAACTTAAAGCTACCTATCCAAATTTTCGGAAAAGAATATAAAAAAATTAGCAATTGAAATATAAAATATAACTAAAACAATTATATTCCACATAAAATAACTGAAAATAATATCAAGTAAAATTCATATTCAACAATTTGATTCAATTTAGATTATTCTTTTTTAAAGACTCTTACATTGTTTATTTTATTGCTGATAGAGAGAAATTTTGAGGTGATATAAAATTATTGAATGAGGCTATTATAATTAATGTGGCCACTCTCTAACAAATTTAATGGTGTAAAATTATCCGCTACACATTGTAGCCGTCTCTTTCAATAATTTTACGTTAATCTAAAAATATTATTAATATAAGAGATATTAATAGATTATATTTTCCTTAAAAGTAGATTTTAAGAGACTATTATGTTTGTAAAAATGGTTTTATTTGATTGGAAAATTCTTCCAATCAGAAGAAAAATAAATATATTTTTGCCACATCAACATTTAATTATCTGGGACGAGTTTTTTTTGCCATACCTCGATAACTAATATGTTAGTTCAATGACTAAAATGGAGTATTATTAAAACTTCAAGAGCGAAAGTGTATCTTTTCAAACTTATGATCCAAATAAAAAACCTCTAATAAACATAATATATGCTTTTATTTATATTTTTATTTTTTCTTGAATACAATATGTGAGGTGGGAAATTGAACTCACAACCTCGTGATTGGAGATATATGTCAATTACACCGAACTGCTCTTCTGCTCTTCGGCTTTTATGCTTTTATTTAATCTATTGTTTTTTATGAATTTTTTTTCCATAAGTACTATAATATTGGGAGGTAAAAATTCGAATTCACAACCTTTTGTTCTAAAATAAATGCCGATAATTTTGGTAAGCTATTTGATAACTCCTTCCCTGCTTTTCTTACAAACTTTTAAGAGTTGGTTTATTTATCTGTTGTTCTAATTTAATAATGAATATTTATATGTTAGGTTATTTTCAATCATTCTTAAAAAAAAAAAGTTATTTTCAATCATTCATTATTTAAATTATTTTTGTAACATCTATCTTAAATTCAAAATTAATTATTGATTCAATCACTTTCATTCCATATGATGATTTCTCTTTCTCGTTTTTATTCAAACCAACACAATTTCTTGACATTTTGTAAACCTATTTTTTTAGGGGATTCGAACCTCTGACCTTTTGATTAACAATACAGAAAATCAATTTATACTTATAAAGTTTGTAGTTGAATTAATTAAAACTTTGAACTGATAAATGCATCAATTAAAACTTTAAACTTTCATGGGTGGATAAGTTTATACCCGCTTATAAATTTATTTTTAAAATGGTTAATACACCATTCTCATATTTGTTATACTTCTTAAAATGTAGGATTAATGAAATATTATAAAAAAAATGATTGAAATCAAGTAGTTTGTAGCAGTTTTCATTAAGAGAAAAATGAAGGAATAAGAGAAGATTAAAAAAAAAAAAAAAGAAAAATCAACAATATCAATGAAAGTTTTTTATTTTGTTCAAATGATCAAAGATTTGAAAATGTGTTTTTCTCATCTAAAATAACTTTTTCTTGTCAACAAAGGTGAAAATACGAAACTATTCTTAATATGATGAAAAAGCCCAAGCCTGAAGCAAAAAACGTCTGCTAAAACTCGGACGAGTTCGTAGATAACTCATCCAAACTAACCGAATTTTTATGAGATTTGCCTAGAACTTACGCGATATCTAGGTTGTTAATTGAAATATTAATTTAGTCTTGATTAAGTAAAGCTCCAAACTCGACAATTTATGCAAAAATAACTAAAAACTAGAAATTGACATTTGGTGGATTCAAACTTTGGACACAAGGGAGGAAAGAAGATGTATTAAGCCAACAAGCAACAAACCATCCAATATTTCTATATAACAAATAAATCTTGCTCGAGTTTTATAAAACTTGCTCTGCAAACTCAGATGGATTTTTCACGAACCCACCTAGGTTTTTCCCCATAATTTATTTTACAGAACTCTCGAAACTCAGATGAATAGATTAAGGCCCCGTTTACTTGCTCGTAATCGTAATCAAAGAATTGTAATCAAAATTCTTTATTATGTTTACCAAAATAAATGACTGGGAATAAAACGTGGGACCCACCCCAAATTTTAGAATCGCTCAAAAAAAAATACCGCTGTAATCCCATTTAAATTCCTGAATCTGTGAGATCCACAATACATTTTTTTTTGTAATTTGACAACCAATACCTTTTTCTCTCTCACGTAGACTCACGATTTTTTGTATTATAAAATTATTTAATTTTAGATTGAATTGGTAAAAGAAAGTTTATTATAATAAATAATGTAATAATAATATCAAATAAAGTGTGAAATTTTTTTTTTGACTTAAATACAAAATATATAATTTATTACTATTAATTAAAATAATATAAGTAGATCTAAAAATTATTATAATTAATTATTTTTTTCAATATAAAAAATCTCATACCATCCTTTTTAATTAATGTAATTTTATATTAGTTATAAATATATAAGGATATTTTGATAATCAACATATGTCTGACTACGATTACGGATGGAAGTAAACACCATGAATTGATTTATGATTCTGATTCTGATTCCAGATATGTTCAAGTGAACAACATCAATAGAATAACATTCTCATTCCATTGATCTCATTACGATTAATTTTCATTACGATTGAGAGTAAGTAAACGGGACCTAAGTACTAACATATCCTGTCTTTTTTTTTTTTTTTAACCGGGATTGGACTTTGCTCTCCCATATCCTGGGACTCCCACACCCATCCCAAGACTCGGACCTGAGAGACATAAAAAAATTTTGGTATTCATTCGACCAAAAAGTTCGAACTTGAGGCTTCTAAACCAATATGACCAAAAGACCCCAAATCCTTGTTAACTAGACTGCACTAAGACCTATACGTAATTTCTGACAATCTCAAAATCCCTCCCATTCAAAATACCAAAAGAAGAGGCAACTCCTAAAACAAAATTTCCAGCATTAATCCTTCCTCCAATATGCAAGAGTTTAACACTCATTCCCAAGCTACAAATTGTGCTTACACATCTACATTATCACATTTGTCTCTTTTTTCATCTTCATCACAACTTGAATGATATGAAAAAATTATAGTATTGACTTATCACAAGTGTTGAGCTCTCCAATCAACTGTATAATTTGTGTCACTGTCATCATCGCTCGAAGAGTCATCGTGGCTAGACTCTTTGGTAGGAATTTCGAGTGTGGCTCTACTTTGTTCTGCTGATCTTTTTGTCTTCAACTCCACTTTCTTCCTCTTCAACGATTCCACTCTCTCCCTGTAGGCCCTGTCAACAGAAACCCAGAAAGTTGGCAAAATCAATAACGTATATTAGGGAGAAAGACGAGAGAATTGCAGTGTTTCACTTACTTTTGCTCTAAGGTTTCAGCTTCCTCTATCATTTCGGCTGCATCGATCTGTAGTGCATCACGCAACAAAATGTACCGTAACTTTGAGTCAATACAATTAATAAACTTTCTGATGGAGAAGCAAAAAGGATATAAATCGGGTGTTACCTCCTCCTCTTCGAAACGGTCATCGACCACTTGCAAATCTTCTTGGATCAACTTCTCAAATTCCTTGTATTCATCTCTGATAATGATGTACATACAGTCAAGGTCATATGGAATCCAATGCCATAAGCTATAAAAGAGTAGAAGAGCATTGCACAACAACAATAAATTTCTGAAGAACAAGAAAGTTGCTTATTTTTTCCATGGATTTGGTAAGCTCATTCCTTGCACGCAACCAACAAACAGAACCCCGTTTGGAGTTCTAATCACAAACTTTTCTAGCTATTTCTAGCGTATATTTTGTGGATGGCCTCAATAAATCAAGTAAAGAACATTGTTGAATAGAGGTCCATACATAGATTTATGGAAAAACAAAAATTAAATGGGTTGCAACCTAGCCTATAATATTAAGTGGCACAACCAACGGTCAGAGACTCCATAGCACTATTGAAGAAAATAAATGTTATAATTACTTAGCTGCCTCAGAATCTTTCTAAAAAATTGATAGGTGTACTTAAAATATAGAAATAGTAGGACGTTGGAAAATGCAGAATTAGAGCAAACGCCAGAGAATGTCAAATAGAAGCAAGATATGGGATTTCTTACGACAAATCCAATTATAAGTATTCTATTTCTCAATATTCTCTCTGGTTGGAAGGAACAAATTGAGAAATAAAATCAAATATAATAGTTACAGGATAAATATATACAAACACCTGCCTTAGCATGGAGACATAAGAGTATTATTAGATATAATAAAAGGATAACAAGAACTTGAGATACCGATCTAATCATAATAAGTTTGAAGATGCATTCATAACAAGTGGGAAGAACCTACTTGACATCAGGCTTAACAAGTTTTATGCCGTGTGCACGCAAATCAGCCTCCTTATCATCAAAGAAACCTTCAGGCAGAGCTCCCTTTATTTGCTTCCCCTCTGAACCAGGGTTCACAGAAGATTTCTGACTAAGGTCATTGGCCGTTGGGATCACCTCTGACTTTCCAATGCTACCACTAGATGATCCATCTATATTTAATGGCTTCATTGGAACACCAGAACTTGCTACTCCACTTCGTGAATCAGGCTCAACGAACTTGTTAGAATCCTTTCCTGGAATGTCACAAGTTAAATGTGAAAGGTTGAAAAGAGAGATCAATATACCTTGAATGCACACCGACTCCAAAGGCAAATAAAAAACTAGCACTAAAATAGGATCTCATGCATATCATCATACACAAAGTGGAAGTTGGAACAAATTTCAACGATGAAACATCTCACAAGTTAGTGATTAGGCAAAGCTAAAAAATATACACGAGGACACAAAATAAACTACAATATAAAATCTCCCTGAGCCTAATGCCACCATCCGCAATGCAACAAAGATTATCAAGAGATTTACCATTGGTGGTCAAGTTTCAAAGATTTTATTGGGTGGTGGAGCCAAAATTCACACTAGTAAGTGATGTTTGGGACTTGAGGACATAGTTGGAATATTCTTACAAAATATGTAAAGAAAAAAGGAAAGTGAATTGTGAGCGATTTTAGACTTACCAAAAATCAGCTACAAAATATGGGGAATGATAAGAGAGTTTGGCAGTCGAAGCCAGATGGAAAATTCTTTGTTAAATCTCTTTAGTAGTAGTCTGATTGATAAAGGCACTAATTAGAATAAATATTTATAACTGGAAGACTCTTCTTTTGTAGGTTTCTTCTAGTTTAGCTCTTGGGCACGGGTCTGCACATCCCCCACCCCCTAGGTGGTTTCTCTCTCCTCATTTTTTAATAAATCTTTTTCTTATTGAAAAAAAAAATTAAAGTTTTTGTTCCACAATCTGGAAAGGTTGTTGCCTAAAAGAGTAAAAATATTTGCACGTTCAACTAGTAATTATTATTGAAGGTATAAACACAACATAAAAAAATCAGTGTAGATGTCCATCTTGGGTGCTTAGCCCTTGGCAGTGCGAGGTTGTGTCATTTTTTTTTCTTTTATCATCCAAAAGAATCACGTATAACAAGTAATTATAGAAGTCTTTTAAGACTGATGCCCAAAGCGTGTTAATTATTGAAGACAGAAGTCTTTTGAGACTGATGCCCAAAGCGTGTTATGCCATTTGGAAAGTGAATGATTTTGAATGTGGTATTACATGTGTTTAGAACTTGCATTTTTTAGGTTCGGTTATGAGGAAAGGTCTCATTAGATAAAGATTCTCATGGCCATCCTTTAATTGAGATTTTGTCTGGGCTGTAAGAGCTTCATTGAAATTGGGAATGTGTGATTGTATTTGGGAGGTTCTGGCTATTGGTTTAGGATGGTTGCCTCACTTGAACGAAGGGGCATTTTTTTTTTTTTATGAGAAACAAATATTTCATTGATGATATGAAATATACAAAAGGTCACAAGGACAATTACAAGAAAGCCTTCCAACTTGTAATTAGGTCATTTAGTGAATAGCTATTGAAAGGGGAATAAAAACATTTACACCAACCGAGAGCTAGAAAAATAACTCTATCAAAAAAGATGTCAAAAGGAAGGGTTTTTTCGTTAAAGACCCTAGTGTTCCTTTCCAACCATAAACTCCAAAGGAAGGCCCTAACAAACTGAATCCAAAGAGTTGCTCTTTCCTTCTTGAATGATGTCCCGCCAATAGTTGATCAAGGCAGAGGTTTGTTGTGTATAGCAGTCTTCCACCCGGACGCAATGAGGAAATGGTTCCAAAATCATGTAGTGAATGCACAATGAATGGATGACCCTGAGTCTCTAGAGCCCCATAACAAAAGTGACAGCAATTTAAAGAGAGAGAGCTATGTGTGGGAGCTTTCTCTACACCCTGTCATGGGTGTTTATCGCCCCATGACTAAGCTCCCAGAAGAAGAATTTTACTTTCCTAGGGCATTTTCCTTGCCAAATGCGAGGGAAGAGGGTGGAGGCCACTTGGGAGCCATTGGTAGTGAGGACACTGTAAGCCGATTTGGTGGAGATGGATCTAGTTGCTTCTAGGGGCCAAGTAAAGCGATCATCTAGGGAGGTGGGGGTGTTCTCATTTAGGATGTGGGAAAGGCGCAATCAATCGGTAATCTCCTCATCCTTAAAGGGGCTGTGGAATCTATAATCCCAGGAGGATGTAGTTTTCGATCATAAATCTATAACAGTGGCCTCTTTGTTTGACGATATGGCAAATAGGTTCGGGAAGAGACTGTCCACAGTTCCTTGCGTGAGCCACCTGTCACGCCAGAAACTGATTTGACTATTTTCCCCCACTCTGCAGATTGCATAATTTTTAATAATGCTGGTTTGTTGAATGATTCCAGTCCATGGTCCTTTATAAGTATTAAAACGAATGGTTGGCCAAGTATCCGAGAAGGAACTTGTGTATTTTGCTGAGATGAGCTTCCTCCACAATTGGTTTGGCTCGATAATGTATCTCCAAATCCATTTGGATAGTAATGCTTGGTTCCTGTGTTTGATGTTCCCTACACCGAGACCTCCTTCAAGTATTGGAAGCTGGGTGCATGTCCAATTGATGAGGTGAGGCTTTCCACTTGTACTTGGTCCCTCCCATAGAAAATCAAGCTTTTGCTTATGAGATCAGCAGCTTTCCTGGATATTTTGAAGTACTTTATGTTGTAACCTTGAGGTTTTCTTCTATTATATACTAACTTTTTACTATATCGTCAATCGGAGCATAGTTCAACTGGTTAAGGCATCTATCTACGACCAAAACATCGTGAGTTCGAATCCCCACCCTCACATGTTATACTAAAAAAATATAAAAATATATAAAGAAAGAAAAAGAAGGCTAATTATGTTACAAAATTACAACTCCCATAGAAAGCTAATATCACTAAAGAATGAAATGGAGTTTAGAAGTCATCACTTTCTTTCCTTGGTAATGACTTAACCATGTCACCTGATTCAAAAACCAATTTGTTTCCATCTCACCCACCCTCTACAGTCCAAGTAATGACAGAGCAACTCATTTTCAAAATATGTTATCTTACAATGTTTCCCATCACATTACATGTTGAGTTCGATCCACCTCAGCTAAGTTTGATTTTGAACCATGATAATAATAGTGACACCAATATGGTCATGTTTATACATAAAAATATATCTATAGACTGTACTTGTTCGTACAAATAACATTTATACACGACCACACATATTATACATGCATCATAGGTGTGTGTTTACGAAATTAGAACCAAACAAGTGCTTTTCTTTAATCCATGCATCATTCTAATTTCTAAAAAAAAAAATTTGATGAGAAACCGAACTTTTCATATATATATATATATATATATATATAGTTTTGCATCCTTCTAATTTCAAATATTCATACCTACATCCTTCCAATTTCAAATATACTCTAGAAACCTTGGTAAAGAGATCTTCTCTGATAAATTATATCATAGAATCAAATAATATTTATACAAAACCACACAAATTTCTTTAATACAAGCCACATTCTAATTTCAATTATATTAAGACATGAAACAGACACAACAATACGTCAGTTTCTAAAATTGTAGGACATAACACATTTGAGACACGTCAGTTATATATGTGAGCGTTTATTTTGACATGTTTTATATTGAATGGTGAAAAAACAAATTTAATATATATATTTTTTTTATATGAAACAAATATTTCATTGATGGTATGGAATATACAAAAGGCCGCAACGGCAATTACAAGAAAACCTTCCAACTTGTAATAAGGTCATTAAGAGAGTAGTTGTTAAAGGGGGTGTAGAAGCTTTTACACCAACCAAGAGCTAATAGCAAAAATCTATCAAAAAAACTATCAAAAGAGTGATTTATCGTTGAAGACCCTATCATTTCTTTCCAGCCATAAACTCCATAGGTAAGCCCGAACTATCAGAACCCATAGGGTAGCTTTGGCCTTTTGGAAAGGGTGTCCCGTTAGGAGGCAATCAAGGAAAATGGGAGGTCTAGTGTGTAGAACTATTTTCCAACCAAAATCCATAAGAATACGGTTCCAAAAACGAGTGGCATATGCACAGTGGATGAAAAGGTGGCCTTGTGTCTCTGATGCCTCAAAACATAGGTGACAACAATTTGGGGAAAGGGCCATGTGGGGGTGTTTCCTCTAAACCCTATCATGAGTATTTAGGGCCCCATGACTAAGCTCTTAATATCTAAATTTGAACAATACTAACGGTTAGAGGTAACCGACAATATCCATTAAATATTAAGGTTTACAAAATAAATTTGAAATTAAAATCAAACAAGTGTTTTTCTTCTTAATATATTTACTTTAGGTTTCTTTTCAAAGTGAGCTTCTTTATTACCTTAATTTTCCAATGGGTAGTGGACGTTTTAATCTAGAGATGGGCCTAATTTTTATTTTTATTAATAAAAAAAAGTGTCCCAGGCCTATCCTTAATGTGTCACCAGTGTGTCAAAAAATTAAAAATAATTGAATAATAGGACACTCTTTTTTCACATGGACATGTGCCGGGCATGTGTCGGGGCATGTCTGTGTCCAACACTAACACTCTACGAAAAGTAGAGTGCCCATGCTTCCTAGACATTATCTATACGCAGGCATAAATGTATTGTAAGTATCCTGTGCATGCATATTTCCTTACCAGTTTTAAGCCGTTTGGCATTGCTATCAAAGAAATCTGGAGGAAGCACAGACGATGACTGAGGTTTTGGTAACTCTTTCGATGTTCCAGTAGTTGCTTTCTGCTCTCTCAACTCTGTTGGTCTGCTTTTAGGGAGTTCAACAGGGGCCTCAGCTTTAGTATTGTTAGCCCCAGATCTTCCTGCTACATTAGCTTTGAGATTATCTATTGCCTGTTATTTACAATAACATCCCATCAGTAATAAATGAACCAGCAGTCAGCTCAAATTTGGTTGGATTAGGATTGAAGGCTTTATTTGTCTAACAAGAGCAGAGCAAGTAGAGATGTAGAAACAGACAAGTGGAAACAAGGTACCCAATATATAAATAAATAAAATGAATAAACAAGTAAAGAAAGCAACTCGCGTATATTTCAAACAGTACCGAAACTATAGTCCATGGTAGAGCCGTAGAGGGGCAATATTCCACCATCAATAAATTATGCAAGGAAACTACTGACGTATAAATTCATTGTGATTTTAAAAAGGTAGAAACTTTTTCTGGAAAACTAAATCGATACACAATGTTACCGCTGTCTTGACAAGGAAACATTCATCTCAGGCAATAAGGGGGCTAATAATTGGACGTTGAAACACTTCACATCAGCATCTATTATAATTGTGAGCATAAATTTTTACTTTTTGATAAAAAAACCAACTTTAATTGAGATAGGTAATAGAATTCATTGCGAGTAACTGGTCCTCCCAAAAAGAGATTTTCTTTTTCAATGGATAAACTAAAGGCGTGCATTTGCAAAGATGATAAAATTATCTTTTGGAATAATAGTGGCTCAAAAGGTCTCCCATTAGATTTTTTTTTTTTTTTTTTTACACTTTATAATGTGACTAACTCAAAAGGATTTCTTGTCAAGCAATCCTGGTTTAGAGAAATCCATTGAGTGGAATCTACATTCAGAAGAACTCGTATAAAAGATGAGAATTGGATCTCTATGTTAAACTCCATGCACCAACACTCACCGTTCTAGCATTGAAAGGATTCTAAACAATGAACCCTTCACTTCTCTATGGGCTATCTTTTTTTTCTTTTGTTGAATAAAGACCAAATTTTAAAAGAATGAAATAATACAGGACATGTAAAAATAAAATAGTCCAACAAATAGGAACCAAACTAAAAAAAGGGGCTCCAATATAGCCTTACCAAACTTAATGAGTAATTACAAAAGGCTTTGGACATTGAAACCCAAAGGGAAACATGAAATCGAGCAAGAGCCCAAATGTGTC